TCACCATGCGCCTAAATAGCTAGAGTGGTTAGCTTCCTATTGGAGTCATCTTGACGGGTTTACTTCCTACGATGAGGTAATGGGGAGAATTTCCCCTTGGCAGGCTGCCATGGCTGGCGAGACAGAGTTCTCGGCCGGGGGTCTGCTCCTCGCTCGTTTGTTTCAATCGGGCATGGCGGTTGCCTCTCCTTGACTCATTTTCCTCGTCCGTGCAGTGGCTCCACTAATGGTGCTGCAGATCGCCGGGGACGTCCTCTCGGCGGCCGTCGTGAACTGGAACCTCACTCGACCAGGCGAGCAGAGCAGCCGGCGGTGCGTACTGTTGCTCTTAGATTGTTGATGTCATCTCTACGTCATCCCTGCGTCACACATGTTATAGCGCCGTTTTCTTGTAGAAAAATAAATCTGTGAATACATTAGAAATACGCCCGCAGCCTACGCATCCACTGGGCCAGCTCGCGCTAGTGCCCCCGCCCCCGTCGTGGGCCGGTCTGCCCGCGCCGCGCTCGATCCGCTGCCGCGCCGGGCCGTGCTCGCGTCCGTTCTCGCCGCTTGCTGGGCCGCTCGCGCGCGCCCCCACCCACCTTGCCACTCGCGCGTGTGCCCCACCTTGCTGGGCCGAGCCTCGTGTGAGTTGAGCCATGCTGTGAATTGCGTTTTCCAATTTCCATTAGATTGTAAATGTTTATTCAATATAGTTTCTAGCTAAACTTTGATAAATTGTAGTAAATCTTGTAGATGTCTAAAAATAGTGAAACCAAGTTTGTTGGGTTCATAAAAATACCATCTATCTGTTAGTGTAGTTAGTTTACAGTTAACTGTGATGGTAATGGGCTCATAAATCCAAACTAGAGAGCTTAGTATTATGTTGATTAATAATTGTAGGATTTTTTGTGGTAGATTGCTGAGAGATATGGCTATGAAAATTTTATAGTAGGCTCACTAGATTATTAGGTACTTGCTATAAAATTTGTAGCCCTAGAGTAAGATGATAAATAGAGTAGTCATTATCCTTGCTTTATCATATATAGCTTAAATCAGCATTAGGAGTAAGAATACCTGTAGTTGCTATAATAATAATAAATGTCATACTTCAAACTTGCTGTCGGTAACAAGAGATAGCTTAGTACTGTGGTTGGTAGCACTAGCTTAGTAGTTAGATAGATGTACTTTTGTTTTAAGAGATGCTGTTGCTATATTACTAAGTATTGCATCATCATGTCATACATGTAGATCACGAGTTGGTTGAGTTCGTGCCTGTCGATGAACCAGAGTACGACAAGGTCATCGAGGAGTACGAGGAGGAGATCCTCATGTAGGAAGGAGCCCCAGAGTCGTTTGGTGCTGACCCTACTGACCCATCGCCTACCCAAGGCAAGCCTCGGTGCATAACCCTTATTTTAAAGGATCACTGAATATATATCTATGATGTGTATTTATGTTACATGCATTTTATGGGAACTACATGCATAAATATATCTACCTATGACTGGTGCACACTTGGAACTGTTTGGGCAAGATTGGCATGTTGCACCTTAAATTACTGAAAAACTTTCTCTCCTTCTCAATTGCAGGTCAAATTGACTGGCATGTCCTCGGGAGGAATTCACAGGGTCGACTGGTCCTGCGTTGAAGCCAAGCAGATCTCCAGCCTTGCTCCGTCAAGCAGATCCTTCTGGCTTGCTGTGTGCTCGACGCATCGACATGTTTTTGCACCGACAAAAACTTTTTGCACTAGTTCTAACAAGTGTTGCAAGCCTTATATCCCAACAATTCTAGTCGCTATAATCTCTAATACAAACAATGGCTAAGTCACTATGAGCTCTCAAAGATAGTTACACTAAAGAGCTTAACTAGGTGAAAAGCTAAGCTAGCAAAGGTAAGACAAGCTCTCAAAACTAATTACACTAAAGAGCTTGTTGCAACTAGTTTGCGGGAATGTAAATTAGTAAGCAAGAAGATTATACCGCCACGTAGAGGAGATGAACCAATCAATTAGTCCACAATATGAATACCGGGAGAAATCCAATACCAAGGGACAAGTGATTTTTCTCCCGAGGTTCACGTGCTTGCCGGCATGCTAGTCTCTGTTGTGTCGACCAACACTTGGTGGTTCGGCGGCTAAGAGGTGTTGCACGAACCTCGTCCATATGTTGGACACCGCAAGAACCGATCCACAAGTGAGGTAACTCAATGACACGAGCAATTTAATAGAGCTGCCTTGTGGCTCTTCGCCGGAGAAGGTGCAATACCCCTCATAAGATCACTGGAGCCGGCCACGAACAATCACCAACACATGCCAGACCTCCACCGCTGCTCCAAGCCATCTAGGTGGCGGCAACCACCAAGAGAAACAAGAAATCCACAACCACAACGATCCCCAAGTGCCACTAGATGCAATCACTCAAGCAAATGCAGTTGGAATCACTCATCTCACTTTGAATTCGCAATCAAGCAAGAGAGATGAGTGGGAGGGAGTTTGCTCAGCACACAAGGATGTTAGGAATGTCAAAAGTCCAAGAAGGATACCTTGGAGCCAACCCCCATCTATTTATATAAGTCCTCAATCAAATAGAGCCGTTATACTTCTTTACTGGGCTCACTGCGGGATGACCGGATGCGTAGGTCAGTTGCACCAGACGCGTCCGGTCGCTACGTCCGATCACCCAGAAATTGCCACGTGTCCCATTTGAATCAATTAGCTGTTGGCGCCCTAACAGCTCGTTCTGACAAGTGCTGACACAAACCACCGAACGCACAACAACGAAATGACTAGACACGGGAGGACAGTGTTCGGACCAAGGAGCGCGAGTCTGGAGGTTGCGCAAATATTTATCGCCGAGACAGAGAACAGCCAAAACGCTCCGAACCCTATGGTGCTTGGTCCAGAGGTTGAGTCCGGACTGGGTCCGGAGTGAAAAAACCTCTCTAGATGCTTACTAGATAGCTCTGGACTGGGGTTGGTGTTGGTCCGGCTAGGCACTGTGCGAGTCCGGTCCGGAGGTTTGTAGGGAGCCGTTGGCAAGCCAATGGTCGAGTGGACACATGGCGTAATGAGATTCAAAGCTACTGAGTGTCGGACCCACGGAGCATGGTCCGAAGGCCCTGATTTCTAGGTCCGGAGCTCAGTCCGATGGCCCTTCGTGGGTATAAGGGCTATTGGAGCCTTGGAGGCCCTATAAATAGATGTTGGCCGGCTTGGGCTCACTCTTTTAGACATTTTAATCATTGATACATCCTTGTGAGCTGAAGCAAACTTCTCCCACTCATCTCCCTACTTGATTGTGCATCCAAAGTGAGATTGAGTGATTCCAAATGCATTTGCTTGAGTGATTGCATCTAGTGGCATTAGGAGATCGTTGTTTCTGTGATTTGCTTGTTACTCTTGGTGGTTGCCGCCACCTAGATGGCTTAGAGCAGCGGAGGAGTCTTGGCACGAGTTGGTGATTGTTCGTGGCCACTCTCGGTGTCATTGTGAGGCGTTCTTGGGCTTATTCCCCGGCGGAGCACCAAAAGCCACTCTAGTAAATTGCTCGTGACGTTGAGCGTCCTCATTTGTGTTGGTTGTTATGGCGCCCAAGTGTTGGGCTAAGCGTGGGTGCCTATTAACGCGTGAACCACCAAGTGAATCAGGCATCACAAGCGGGGACTAGCTTGTCGGCAAGCAAGTGAACCTCGGGATAAATCATTGTGTCAATTGGTATTCTTGGTATTCATTTGATTGATGCTTGCCCGGCTCGGTATATCGATTTCTATCTCAAGTACATTACTTTCATTGATATACTTGTGTTGTAGTTGTTAGTCTTCTTGTGTAGCTAGTGAACTAGAGAAGTTATTAGTTGAGTAACTAGTTGTTTTTAGTTGTAATTATCTTGCTAGCCAGCTCACTAGATAGTTTAGTAGTGACATAGCACATTGATTGCCATAGAGATCATAGCACACTAGCATATTTGTAGTTGTCTTGCATTTTTAGTAGAGCTAGAGCAAAATGCAATTATCTCTATTTAATTGTCTAACCATTTGCTCTAGTGCCTTGTAGAATTTTTAATTAGCCTATTCACCCTCTATAGTCATTTATGACCTTTCACCCATGGACCTTGGATGCCATCCTCACATCCCTCAGATGCAACTGATGCTGAACCAATGCATTAGATTGCTTAAAATTGTGTGTCTTCGCCATTATAGAATCAAACAGGCGACTAGAGAGGGCGAATGTGAGCCAATAAAATTTGGTTGCAAAAACTTAGCATATATCCTAATTCCTATCCAACACTCATCTCTTCTAATCATCAAGGCTACACGAGCCAACTTGTGATAGGTTGACCTAGGAACAGTTAGGTCTTTCTTAAAAATTCATGGAAGAAAACAATCAAGATCCAAGTCTATAAAAGCTAACCACAAATACTATAAACAACAGTAAAATGAAATGAAATAAGGCTACACAGTAACTGAAGTGGACTATAAACAAAGCTACAGAAAAGAAACCGGACACACTACTACTAGCTAAAGTACTGGTACTATAAAGCAATTACTCGACATTCAGACAAGCAAGCTACTGCAACAAAGATAAAACAAAGCTAAGAAAAATACTAAATAGAGGAGCAATATAGAAGAAAAGAATCTTTACATATGAATCCTGCCTCCAAAAGCTGGCCAGCCAGCATGCCACGTCGCCTGTTTTTCCGGCCGTTCGATCCGGCGCGCGGACAGCCCAGATCGGGTGAGCCGTGGTCTTTTTGCAAAAAAAACCCTCGAACTTTAGTCGAATCAACCCGTACTCCAGGCCTCCTCTTCTGCTGCGCCGCGCATCTCCCTCCTGCTCGTCCCTCGCTCCTCCCTTCGCCTAAACTAACCCTAGCGGCGGCGCGAGCAGGAGCGCGAGGCGGCGACGTCAGCAGCAGCGTGCGCAGGCCTCGGTGGCGACGGCGCTCACGCAGGATCTGTCGAGGCGGCGACGCGAGGCACGACGGCGGGCAGCAGCACAAGGAGCAGCGCGGGCGATGGCGGCGGCGTGTGCGCTTGGCAGAGGTAGCCCGTAGATGAGCTCGGTAGAGGCCATGCCAAGAAGGTGCTCGAGCTTTTGCTACTCCTCTTCGTCTCCAGGCAGCAAATTTCTGTCGTGGTGCTGTTACTGCTGGCCGCATGGATTCGCCGACAGCTACAGTAGCAACAGCGGCGCAACCCAAGGTCGGATGCCCGGATCGCCACTGCCGCCGTTACAGATGTGTTTGACACCACCGCCTCCGCAGCTCCGGCCACAGCGTACAGGCTACAGCTTCTGTGCCGTCCCCCACCTTCAATTCTCATCCGCTTGCTTGCCCCGTTTGTTTGTCCAGCCAATTTGATCAGGGCGCCACACGGAACCCTGGTTCTTGATTTAATCACGGGTTGTGTGGTCATGGCGGGTCACCCCGTTCTTCTTCTCTTCCATGAGTTCAGGAGGTAGAGTGAGAGAGAACATGGAACGACAGGGGATGGAGGGCAACAATCTTCTGCATTTTCTTGATACCCCAACCGCCCATTACAGAAGGTTGGTAGTTTTTTCCGGTCTTCTTTCTGATTTTATTTTTATTGATGCAATCTCTTGCTCCATCTTTCGCATCTGTCCATCCGGGACATGCACATTTCCAAGGAAATGGCAGTTTTATGGTTTGCTCCTATTTGTCTTGAAGGACATGCGACGGATTTCAAGCCCAGCAAGGTGGCGATGATGACTCCGAGACATCAGGTTTGTGAATGTTCTGTGACATCTTCCTTTCCGTTTGCACCTTTGTGAATCTTCTGTGATATTTTTCTATATTATTTCATTGCTATTTCGATTGAAGAAAGGATGTGATTGATATTATCAATCACCATTAAATTGACACTACCTAAAATTATAATTAGCTTGATGTGAGAGAAATTGGACTAAATAAATAGCCTCATGTGATAAATGTTGTGTAGGTGGAGCTGCTAGTACTATATCCTTTACTATTTGTTGATTAACTGGCGATGCCTGATTTATGTGTTACTGCTGCAAATGACTACTGATCTCCAAATGATTTCTTTGTGATGGTTTTCAGATACCGATCCAGCTAATGCAAGGGAAATGTTGGAGTATTTGTTGAACCAACCAGCAAACAAATATTGCGCAGACTGTGGCAATCCAGATCCAAAATGGGCATATGTGTCACATATTTCATTCGCTCTGAATATTCAATCAATTTGGCTTATGCTTGCAAAACACTGATAGAGTTGCCTTTTGGCATAGGATAGTTGTCCTCCGTCAGTTTTGTAAAGTCTCTTTAAAGGGGTCTGACATTGTATTTATACAGCTTTACTGCTTTAGTACATAAATGACCAAACATGAAAATATGAACATTTGAGTTAACCTAACTTAAGCATTTGGGGTAAATGTTTGGTCTGATTGTTTTAATTAGACATGCGGTTCTGACAAATAATTATACAAAAAAATAAATTTGGAGCGCACATAAACTTCAATCTTATATTTCAGATGGTCCTCAAGATTTCGTTTACAATTAAACTGCTTTTGCACTTGTAGGGCCCTGCCTTTTGGCGCATTCATCTGCATTAAGTGCTCTGGAAGTCATAGAAGTCTTGGTGTGCACATATGAAAGGTGGCCAATGAACTTCACTCTTTGTTTTTTTAGTTCCTATATGTTCTGCCATTTTTACCACAGATTGGCATATTCCAATTTCCTTTTCTGTTGGACCTATTATATAAAGCAAGGCTCCAAAATTTAATTTTTTTTAAAGAACATATAGCCTACTTTACCAATAAATGTGCATTGCAGTCACTCATTATTTCCCTTGTCAAAAGGATACACTCTATGAATTACTGTGGAAAATGATTAATGCCCAATTTTTAATTGTAATGCTACTCTATGTTTACTGTTAAAGCTCTAAACCTGAGCATATTGTGTCCTTATATTGAACTAATCGACTATTCATTTTGAATGGAGTATAGGTGATTTCTGTGAATCTGGATGAGTGGACAGATGAAGAAGTCAACTGTTTAGCTGAATCAGGTGGAAATTCTGTTGTTAACACAAGATATGAAGCTTTTTTACCCGAAAACAAAAAGCCAAAACATGATTGCTCAACTGAGGAGCGTAATGATTTGATCAGATACATGTTGAGTTAGTTGATTGTCAGTATTTCTGCTAATTGTTCCCTCAAAAAAAAAGTATCTGTGATAATTGTATCTAATGATACTTTGTTTTTTCCCTATCTATATGCATGCAGGAAAAAATACCAGTTTCAACAGTTTGTGTGTGATCCACAATTTTCTTGCCCTTTACCACTTAACAGAAAGCATGCACCACCAGATAAAAATCGCCTGTAATTGGTGTGCATGTGTGAGATATGTTTATGCACATACATGCAAAGGGAAATTACCTACTTGTATTACTTTGATTTTAGGCATATGGTTGAACTATTTTCAGTACATTTCCAGACCCCAGTTGTTAGCTGGTACTACCAGGATGGTGAAAAGATCTGTATTCTTCTGCCCATTGACAAAAGTTGGCTTGCTCCAGTGGGGAAGACGCCAATGGTGGCCGACAAGGCAGCCAATCTTAAACGCCAGGGATCTCAGGGAATTGGCAAGGGTGGAAACCAAAACTATAGATTTTCGTATGAAATCTACACATTAATGCACTTGAAAGATTTTTGCAAAGTTCTCACATAAGTTGCATGATTCTTTGGAGCCAAATCTGCAAGTTTCACAAGTTTGATTTCTCAGAAATTGGTTATTGTGTGAGTCGATTTTGATTAGCAGTGGTTTCAATTCCCAAAGATATGCTGCTTTTGAACATATTGATATAGCCCACCAAATACACCAAGACAATTAGTGTTGGATCACACATATTCAGTGTCGCTTTGTAGCCATCAGATATACCATGATGTTTTTGGTAAGCATTGTAAAATATAAAGATCAGAGGAGACATGCTCACATACTTCAGTGCACCTTCTGAGCCATCAGATATGCCATGATGTTTTTTGGTAAGCACTGTATGCAACCAGATGTTGTAGCTAATATGAAATGTTCACATCTTAGTATTGACTCTATGCAAATTTACAGATCAGAGGAGACATTCTCATATGCTTGATCTGAGAACCTGGTGGAGCTTATGAAGCATATTAACATTGTTACTTGAACAGGAGTCTATACTATTAGGGGCTCTTTTGGAAGCAAGAGGGAGCAAAACTCAGGGATGGAAAACCCCTCACTAAGAACTAGAATGATAATTAGAATGATATCTCCATGGATTACCCACACAGGGAAAAGTCCGGGATTTCTGAGGGATTGGAGTTTCTAAATTAGGCCTACATGCAGGAGTAGCTATTAGTTCCCTAAAATATAAAAAACGTAACATGGAGGAATATGCCATATTGTGTCCACGCAACTGTTGAGATAGATGCACTGTGATGGATCTATTAAACTCTCCTACAAATAAAATGGAGTATGCATATTACTTTTGTGGCACAAAAAGTACCACTTTATTCCTTACATGGAACTTATCCACATTGCAGCAAGCAAATTTCATGGCACCGTAATTTTACATTTGTGAGATCTTGACGCCTCAAATCATGTAGTTTAAAGAACACTATAGAATTTCAAGGTAGTAGAGACAACATTTTCTGCTCAGTTTGAGTCAAATGTCATCGGAAAACAATTGCATTTCTCTCTTCCTCTACTCTCACTTACATCATGTCAGAGCTTAATGTATGCTACGAAGCAAAAAGACTGCAATCTCAACCGAAAGCATATTTTTTAAGAATAGAAGAATAAATAATCAACATATTTACCCTTACACTATTGCTACGAAGGTGCTTTCATTTCCTTGCCCTCGCTGATACAAAAGTAATCAGACATCAATCAAAAGAAATTCTAAACGATATAAATCCCACGTAGAATCACCACTGGCTAGCTCAACATGGCGCGGCAACGCCGCGCCCCAGGTTTTCTAGTAACTAAGGAAAAGAGACAACTTAATGAGTAAACTAATCCCCTGCAACTGCAAGCAATGATCAGAACCCTATTGCAAAGAGAAGACTTATCACAAAGTCACTCCTGCACCACTAGCTGCATTAAGACATTCAGCCCGATCGTTAAGTCACTCCTGCACCACTAGCTCCATTAAGACATTCAGCCCGATTGGCTGGGGCGGGCTGGCTGGCCAGCCCCCTCACATGGATACTATTCATATGAACCAGCCAGTAGTACTTCTCTCTCACATAAACGAACCAGTAACGATACGAACCAGCCAACCGAACAGGCTGATTATTTCTCTGCACATCCTATTTAATGCGAGATACATGCCGTGTTCGGCTGGGGCTGGCTGGCTGGCTAGGCTGGCCAGCCCCCTCACATAGATACTGTTCACATAAACCAGCCAGCAGTACTTTTTTCTCACATAAATGAACCAGCAACGATACGAACCAGCCAACCGAACAGGCTGACAATCTTTTTTTATCATAAAAGAATCTTACATATGGATCCTATTTTACTCTTAGTATAAATGCAAATTTCTCCTTGTCATTGATGTTGAGTAGAATTTCTCCAACTTCCACATCTATGTGAGCATTCGTGGTAACAAATAACAATAGTCTTTCAAGTATGAGAAGGGTCATCATGTCGACCTCCATGACGACCGGACGAAGAAGTTTAGGGCTATTTGGATGGCACTATTTCCCAAGACTATACTACCATAAAATTGTGGTTTTACAAATAAAAAAGACACAAAACTGTGAAAAGAGGTCAAGAGTCTAAATTACTACCATCAAGTATCGCTTATGTCCAGGTAACCTCTAAACTAACGTTTGGTTCTGTTTAATCCCTTTAACTATTCCAGTCCATTCAATTTACTCATTAACAAGATTTGTCTTTTTCATTTCTCTACGTACAAGTTGAATTTTACTTAAAAATGTGTGAGGCGACTGAGGACAACATATAGTATTTTTAAAAATATATTATGAATTTTATATCATCATGTTTAATACTTTTTTGTTTTTCTAGCGTTAATTTATTATTATAAATCCTAACCTACCAAAATAATGATATAAATTATGACATATTTTTTAAACACAAATTATGGTGCTAGATATCCCCTCAAAGTTTAAAATCAAAATTCAGCTTGAACGTGGAGAAACAAAATAGACAAAACTTGTCTAGGTGTAAATTGAATCCACTGAAATAATTGAGGAGAGTAAACCAAACCAAGCCAAACAGTAGTACAAGGATTATCGGCAGATAGGCTATACTTGAGGGTTGTCTTTTGGAGTTTTCCTAAATCAAACTCTATGTTTTTAGCAAAACCAAGGTTTTAGACACTACAACATTTGTTACTCCCTCCGTCCCAAACCGCACATCTCGCATTTGAAGGAGTTAAACAATCTTAAATTTGACTAGATTAACAGAAAATAGTTGTAATATTTGTATTTCTAAATAGGATTAGTATGAAGACATATGTTGCGATTAATCTAATTATGATTATTTGATATTATAAATCTCAGTATTTTTTATATAAATTTAGTCAAACTTAAGATTGTTTGACTCTTCAAATTGCGAGATGTGCACTTATTTTAGCACGAGGGAGTATATCCCAACAACAGTAGCTTTTGAAGTACGGAGTACTTTGCATTCAAACCGGCCCTTACTAATTTCGACTAACTGCAAAATTCCATGGGCTCTTGGCTGCTTGACTTTATTAAACCAAAAATAAAATAAAATTGAAAGTAGCACCCACGTCAGAGGCTGTGACGGGTAGGTCCCACCTCGAAGCAGACCTGTGGACCGCATCCACATGGCGGCCGCCCAACCCTCCAAACCCAGCTCCCTTCCATTTTCCACTGGCCGGCCATCCGCACCCCCGCCACCACAGATCCCCAATTCGTTTCCTCCCACCGAGCCAAGCGGCGACGACGGCGGTCGCGGCGCCCCTTCCCTCCCTCCGTACCGCCGCCGCCGGTGAGTTCCGACGCTGATACCTCTCCCTTTCCTGTGATTCGAGCGCTTCCCCTTACAGCCGTCGCGCCCCTGCTCCGCTTTGCTTCAGACGAGCAGATTGGGCCGAGCACCTCTCCGGCCAGCAGCGGCACCGTCGCCGGTGCCAGGTCCGGGGCCGCCGTGCCGTGGGGCTCGCTGAAACGGGTACACGTTCTGCCTCCGTTCACCCGTTTCTCGCTCCTTGTTGCTTGAGCCGGTAACAAAATTAACGGTTCAGTTTAGGCGCGGTGGATGTGCGAGCTTGCTAACCTGGAAGCAAACGTTATGAATTATATGATCGCCCTTGTGTACTTCCCTTCTTAATTGACTTCCATGCGTGCATGCCTCGTCTAATTCTAGTGTGCCAAATGTGATTCGTCTGTTCCATCCGGTGACTTGCTGAACGGAATCTGAGTGTGGACCGCTGGATAGATTTTTTTCCCAATTGGACTGTATCAAGATTGATCTGTGGATAAGAAGACCTAGAAAAATTTAGGTGCACATGCTGCAACCATCAGGTGTTGTTAGCTACCTGCGCATTAGATGGAGGTTACAGAGCTAGAATGTGATTTACTCATGAGCATGGATGGCATCCAGCAAGCCTCTTTTGCATAAGATGTCCTTTGGTGCTAATTTTTCATACTGTACTCCCTCCATTCCAAATTATAAGACGTTTTGGCTTTTCTAGAACATAGCTTTTGCTATGCACTAAATCTAGATACACAGTAAAAGCAATGTATCTAGAAAAGTCAAAGCGTCTTATACTTTGGAATAGAGGAAGTAGTAATTAATAAAATTAGCTAACACATAGTGGAAAAGGGGGTCAAATTGCTATTGCTAATCTAGTACAGAAACCGGGAAAAACTATGTCCAGCATACATTATTACCCTGTTCAACCTCAACCGCTCTTCTAAGTAGTGTCCATAAGCTGTGTTTCTTTTTTTCTGAGAGGAGTGGTTGAATGCCCACATGTATTATGACCTATTTCATGTTGAGTTCTCCTAGAATGTTTATGACCTATGATTGTCAGCATGGAGTTCAATAGTTCTCCTAGAATGTTTATGACCTATGATTGTCAGCATGGAGTTCAAAAGGTTGTTTGGTTAATCAGATATATGCACTGATTTCTTTTCTAGCTGTGATTAGGCTACAACAACTTTTCAGTTTCAAATTAGAGTTTGTATTATTTTCACTGAACATCATATGTTTCCCCATGCCCGTGCAATAATCAGTTATAGTGTACCAAGGAACATCTGAATGTAACCAAGTGTCTCAAAACCGTAACAGTTTAGCCAAGTAACTAAGCCTTGTCTGGCTAACACGACTACCAAAACTTTTCACAATGCAGCCTTTCTCAGCTCAATATCTGGGTGTGGTTTCACATTATCCAGGCCTGGATATAAAAATTGGTTCTGTATCCTACTTATGTGTCTTTCTATTTCTTATTTATCAGTAATCAAAGAAGTTGGTTTCCGGTGTGAGCTTGATTGTTTTTCGCTATTACTAGGTTGCTTCAGAGAAAGAAATTCTAGGGTAGGTTGTTGTTGTTGTCGTCGTCATTTTCCTTATTGTGTGCACACTATGTTTGGTATTACCCCAATCTGCTTTGCATGCAGCAATGATCTTATTTTGTAGACAGGCTGAATATCTGCACGGACACAGTCCAAAAGCCTATATCTCCTGTATAAATCGTTTCAGGA